TTGGTGAAAAACCCGGATGATGCAATTCGCAAATATAAATATATCAAAAGAAATTGGTATCTGGGGAAAAAAAAATTGACAAAAAAAGAAAGAACTAAAAACGTTCGAGCAGGGTGAAAAAATCGTCCAGTGCCTTAATTTCAAGTCCAAAGAAATAAAACCCAATCGAGTAACTAAGATAAAACGTAAAGTGCTCTATACACTAAGTAGAGCAGAAATAACACATCCTAAAGAGCCAGGAATTACCTGCCTAGGTTTCACCTAAATGGATCTTTAGGCTAAATTGATTTATTATATATATATATATATATATATATATATATATATATATATATATGCTGATGAAAGTTTTATTAAAGGCCAACGGAAGTTCTTTTTAAAGTATTTTATGAACTTGTCCTTCCCTTCTAAGGAGCTGTTTCTATCCGAATTGGGGTTGTGTAGGTAGTGTTAAAATTCTAAGCTCTTCCGGCCTACATAATCATTTTCAAAAAAAGATATTATATGTCTTTTTTGTGTGGCTTGTAATGGTGCTCACTATCTTCCCAGCACCACTTTTTCGTGTCAGTAACTGAAATAACAAGGTACCGCTCTAAAAAAACAAAACAAAAAAACTTGAATGTTTATTCAGTCGATATCAACTGAAGATTTACACTTGTATACATCTGTCAGTTCAATAGCGGTCTTGAGTTTCACTTCCGCCAATCCACGCAACACGATTTTTTTACATGCGTAGACCAGCATCATATTGAAAAACTGAAAAAATTCAGCTAAACAATTCAGTTAAATAATTTAGGCGTATTATGTCTATTTATTTTAGTTTTAATCCTTTCAAGTCCACGAATTAATTTCTTGGAGGCTGTAAAAAATTGATTAATAAATAATTCCTAAATTTTCTTTCAAATAATTTTTATTTTCCCAAGTACTTTCAATCTTATCTGAGACCATCTTCGGGATTTGCATATCTATGGATGTGTTATGCGTTAACAACAATGTGACATCAAAATATTTTTACCTCTATGCAATGGAAGTAACTTAAAAAATTTATTTCAAGATTATCTCAGATTAAATTGAAAGGACCAAGGAAAATAAAAATTATTCATAAGAAAATTTTGGAATTTTTCTTAATCAATTTTCTAAAGCCATTCAAGAAATTAATTCGTAGACTTGAAAGGATTAAAACTAAAATAAATAGACATAATACGCCTAAATGATTTAACCAAACTTGGTAGAATGAAAATATGCTGTCTATATATATATAAAGAATATGAAGAAATATACTCTTAAGATGTGCTATATTTATGGGATAAAGTGCTCAATATCAGCGATAGAGCGTGTATATATATATATATATATATATATATATATATGTGTGTGTGTGTGTGTGTGTGTGTGTGTGTGTGTGTGTGTGTGTGTGAGTGCGTGTGTGAACATTGAAGTCAACACCCAGAGGCCACAGTATGTTTCATGCTAAACGCAATCGTCTGGCCTTGACGAGTGCGTTTAGCATGAAACAGCCTGTCGCCTCTGGGTGTTCACTTCAAAATTCACTTTTATATCTACATACACTCTATCCCTGATATTGAGCACTTTAACCCATAAATATAACATACCTTAAAAGTATATTTTATCATATATATATATATATAAAAACAAATTCACAGATTTAGACCCCCCCGCAAGCCCCCCAGAATGACGTCAAAAACCGAACAAATTCTCCATCCTTTATTAGTTGCGCTTAGTTTAATTAGTAATGTATATAAATGTAGACAGAAAAATCAAAAGTTGGTAAGACAGCGAGTGTTAGAAGGCACTGTTCGCTCAGGCTTGAGTCCCTTCGATTGGTCCGGCAGGAGAGGGTGTGGTTATAGTACGTGACGACCCTGCGTGAAATCAAAGGAGTCTATCATTTAAATAAAACTTTGTTTGCCTATGTTTTTCAATCAACAATGTGGAGTAGTTTTCATTTCTTATGAATTTTCAAAATTGCACAGATAATGTATAAACACCTTATACCTGTTTGTATATGATGGATGTTCTCAAACTATCTGATGTGGCGGACTAAAAATTTTTTTTTCCCAATGTGTCACGTACCTGTAATATTTCGTGGTAATATTAATTTATACCGGAGACGATATAATGAATATAATAAAAGTTGACTATTTTTATCTTCCTTTTATTTAAAAAAAAATAATAATTCAATATCAAAACATATAAAAAGTAATAAAAAAAAATAAGCAGTTTATTAAAAGACAAAAACAAAAATGATATAACCTTAATCACAGCATGATTTGGACACTGCGGACCACCACTTTGAGAAGTACTGTTGAATAGTACTTAAATAAAACAACACATATCTGTGATGGAAATAATAATAATAAAAATAATAATAATAATAATAATAATAATAATAATCGCTGACCTTTAATGAGTAAGGAGAACATCTTCTTTCTGTTGCTGCTAATCCAAAAGTTTCAGATTCTCGAATCATAGCAACAGAACAACGTCTTCGCTTTATGACATTACCTTCAGGTGAGCTTGTTTAGCAGGCCGAGTGACTGTATGTCGGGTAGGGTTGCTAATGTGTACATACGTATGTTTTATTAAGTTATTTTAATGATATGAACGCGCTAGAGCGTACCTGTCACTGGTGTTTACAATTGTGAATAGCTTTGTAATGTTAGAGAATTGCCTGCATGGGCTGTGTGTGTGTGTTTGGAAAGGAAGCCTGTTCGCTTGGAGCAGCGTTTCTTAACCTATTTATCCTTGTGCAACCCTTGAAATAGTTTCATGTCCCAGGGAACCCTTGCATAAAAAAATAATTATTATATACCATTATTAATATCTATCTCTTTTATAACTTTATTATAATTCCCGTGATAAAAATAAGACATGGAGATCGTGTATGCATCCTGAACCCGAGTGAGTCACTCAATGGTACACAAATCCGCCACGTACAGGTCCACTGAAGGCGGTTTCACTCTGATTTCATAGAGACATCTCTACAAGGGCCGGTGCGTGCTACATCCGAATACTCCGACCTTTCAAGCCTCATTGGGGGTCCCCGGGCAGTGCTTTTTGATCCTCACTATCTTATCAACATCTGTTTTGTTTTCTTTCTACATTTATATACGTTAAAAATTAAGCTAAGCACAATTGACTGTTAAAGGATCAAAAATTTTGGCGAATTCTGACATCAATCTGGGGTCTTTTTTTTTTCGTCTAAATCCGTGAATTTCTTTTATTCATACTAAGTCTCGAAAAACACTATATAAAATTCATTATTTTTTATCCGTATGTTGAATGTGTTAACATTAGCCAGCTTTTGATGTTAAAAATTGCCACAAAACATTCTTGATTTGTCTCTAATTTGTATTTAGATACATTGTATTTACTTCGAATTTTTCTAGTTTAATTGTACACCTATATTGCATATGATCCATTATTGTACATAATTAGGTTCAAATGTGTATTTTATATGAATATTACCTTATGAAAATTGAGATGTAGTAGAATGGGGCCCTCGTATCATAGATTGGGGAGATGGTATCATATGTGGTGGGCACGAGACCCTTACACTGGCCCTGCATAGCTAAATACATTGCCTATGATTATTATAATTTTAAATAATATGTTGATTTTCTAAGCGTAGCTTACATGTGGCACAAGGCCGAAAGTATGGGGCACCCAGTGAACTCACTACACAGTAGTAATTAATGTAGCGAGACAAGCTTGCTAACCATTACACCACGTCGAGGTGCCCTAATTTTAAATAATATGTTGAAGCCTTTTTATTATAATAAAAAAGGATTTTCCAACAATATGCCGGACATGTAATATAAAAATTACGAATATAAAATTAGACAAAAAAAATCACTCAAAAATGCATGAACCTGCTTAATACTGTTCATCGCGGAACCCCTTGCGGGGGGGGGGGCTAAGGTTCCAAGGACCCACCGGTTGAGAAACATTGGCCTGGAAAATCGTAACCGATTTTTTCTAGGAAGTTTAAGACGATGATACCGTTGTACAAGATTTACAATAACTCGGCCCCTAACGAATTCACTCCACTGTTAGCGATGTGAAAGATTATTTCTCTTTCCCACTATAGCTCTGCAACAAGCATATTATAGATATTTACAAAATTTTAGTCTGACACAAGGGTTCTATTACAGAGCGCATAGTGGGATTCAAACTTGCAATGTTTTGACTAGTGTGCATCAGTCGATGGTACTAACCATGCAGAAATGTGCTGAGACTTAGTCTAAATATGCATATGTGGGTGAAATTGTGCCAGTTAATTGCATATATATATATATATATATATATATATATATATATATATATATGTGTGTGTGTGTGTGTGTGTGTGTGTGCCCATCACGATTGAGTTGACAACATTAGCGAGAAGCATTTATCGTATGTAGGACAAGGGATAGGCATGACATTCGTAATCTACGAAGGCGGCATGAAAGAAAGAAAGGTGAACAATAAAGGAAAAGGAAAGAAAAGAAAGAAAGAAAGAAAGAAAGAAAGAAAGAAAGAGAGAGAAAAGAAAGAAAGAAAGAGAGAAAGAAAGAAAGAGAAAAGAAAGAAAGAAAGAAAGAAAGAGAAAAGAAAGAAAGAAAGAAAGAAAGAGAAAAGAAAGAAAGAAAGAAAGAAAGAGAAAAGAAAGAAAGAAAGAAAGAAAGAAAGAAAAAAGAAAGAAAGAAAGAAAGAAAGAAAGAGAAAAGAAAGAAAGAAAGAAAGAAAGAAAGAGAAAAGAAAGAAAGAAAGAAAGAAAGAGAAAAGAAAGAAAGAAAGAGAGAAAAGAAAGAAAGAAAGAGAGAAAAGAAAGAAAGAAAGAGAGAAAAGAAAGAAAGAAAGGTTTGGAGGAACGAGAATAAAAAAGACGACAAAGAAGAGAAACAACAAAGGAAAAAAAAGAAGAAGAAAAACCTCAAAATAAAGAAATAGAAAACGAATGTGATAAAATTACGGAAAATAAGGAAGGGAGAGAAGAAAGAAAAAGAAAAGAAAAACCTCTACAAAAGCAAAAGAGAAGGAGAATAAGATCAAAGTGTGTCAAATAAAAAAAAAAAAAGAAAAAAAATCGGAGAAAGAAAGAAGAAAAGAAAGAGAGGAAATGCAATAAAAGAAAAGTTTGCCTCTCCTATCTCTGGTATTTTAACTATTTCCCCAAAGCTGCTTGCGTAAAGATTTTAAACGTATTCTGAGCTAAAAGCTGTCAGCTAAAATATTATTATTAATAATACTAATACTAGTAGTACTACTACTACTACTACTATTATTATTAATAATAATGTTGATGATAATGATAATAATTATTTTAAAAAGCACTACTGACGTCTATTTTTCTCTACGCTAATTGTACGAGGTATGCGTGGCGCAGATAGTGAAAGTGATGAGTTCCATCACGGGTCAAGCCACTTTACACTATTGCCCTTGCGAAAGGCAGGAACCCATTATTCTTTCTCTTAATAGCCATGCAGGGTAAACGGCGCTCTCTCGCCTTGCACGGTAGCCAGTCAAGAAGAACATCCCGGTATCTGAACACCGTAGAAAAAGGAAAATGGACATACGAATTATTAACATGTGAACTGTTTCATTGGAAAAATACAGACAAAAAAAGAAGTAAATAATAACGGAATTATTCGTTTTTTTTCTATTAATTTGCACAAGGGTGTAGGTGATCATGGCCCTCCACATCTTCCTGAATAATTAATTTGCACAAGGGTGTAGGTGTTAAGATAGTTGTAGGGGCCAGCATATTTTTTGTCTGTTGCTATTAGGTTGGTGCAAAAATAATGACGTAATAATGTCGTTTTTGACGTATTTTTTAACGTCAAAAAACGACATTCTTACGTCATTATTTTTGCACCAACCTAATAACTTGTCGCTTATATTTTAACACTTTTTTTCCCCACAAGCCTTACTATTCCAGTCCACCCTAGCATTGAAGTTCAAGACGAATTCCAAATATTTAGGTTAGAAAGAAATCCTGTCGCATTTTTGGCGGGATCATTTTGAGGATTCTATTTCTACAATCAAATAACGATCATTATTTTATTTTTTCTTTTTTACGTTCTTACGTTTTTCTTTCTTTATTTGCAGATTACTTGAGTGTGGGTAAAGTTTGTTGGGATTTTACACTTTAAAACAGAATTTAGATCAGATCCATATCAGACACTATATAGATTCCAAAAAATGCTTTTTAACAAGGGAAGAAACAAAAGTATTCGACAGGAATCGAATCGGACCCCTATTTTCAACCAGGGAAATCATTTTGGGTGGAGGTTCGATCCCTGTTAGAGGTTGGATCTTTTCTTTAGTAGGACTTCACAGTCTAGGCTGGTTGTTATTAATTTCATTAAGAAAGTAAAAATGAAAAAAAAAAAAATTAAAATTAAAAAAGAACAGCGATTTGAACAGGCACACCCACACAAATAACGTTTACAATAATAAAAAATGTTGGATGAAAGAGTTCTCTCAGTATATACACCGGGTGTAACAGCCAAATTGTTCATGCTTAATATCTAAAAAAAAAAAAAAATTAAAATTAAAAATTAAACTAATTCAGTTTCATTTTCCAGGTTTTCAGGTTAGACTTTTAGCTATGTTGACACCATTCGTCGTAAGAATCATTAAAAAACCCTTTGACTTATTCAGCTAGAAAAAGAACAGGTTAAAATCGTTTTCTGTCAGCCCCACTGTCTTCTCAGCTGAGCAAGGGTGAGGGGAAAAAGATAATTCAGGCCTTCAGTAATGGTACCAACATTCCTACTCTGGCTTCATCCTCTACAAGGTCCGATGGCACACGAGGTAGAGAATTACGTTAAGGGGTAGATTATTTGGCTGGGAGAGGGAAGAAAACGGTTAACTCTTATTTTTTAATTTCTCAATTTTTAATGTTCAAAACATCTATCTATCTATATATATATATATATATACCGGGTGTAATATCATAATGGCCCATCGCACACAATGTTTTATAAAAAAAAAACAGTAAATTAATTGGATTTTTTCCAGGTTTTAGATAAGACGTTTAACCATCTTGACCGTCTTCTCAAATGAGTAATGATGAGAGGAAAAAGATCATTCAGGCCATCAGAAATGCTACCAACATTCATGATCTGGCTTCCATCTTATAAGTCCATTCAAGAATAATCAATAGAACGATGAATAAGTTTGAAAAAGGAGGGAACAGTCGAGAGAAAACTGGAACAGGCGGTTACAACAGGAAGAAGGTTAATCATTTTAAGTTAGGGTTGAAGAGATCAATTAGAAAAAAAATCCAACTCAATTCGTAAGATGTTTGGCACGCGAGAGAGAAGTTTCAGCCATGACAGTCCAAACAGCAGTAAAAAAAATAATTGAAAGTGAAATCGTACGAGATACCGAGATATCTGAGGCATCTTGTTACTCCAGGACAGAAAGAATGTTAGAGAGGGCGAAAACCATCTTGAATAAATTGGAAAATGACCCTGGAATTATATATATATATATATAACGTTCAAACCTTAATCTAACAATTGGACAATTTTACTGTTACACGATTTGGAAAAATTTAGCTATTACACCCGGAATATATATATATATAAAGAAAAATATACAGAAAAAACAAACAAAAATCTTAATATTAATACTGTCGGATCTATATCCATATATTTGCTTATATATATATATATATATATATATATATATATAGTGACTGACCACTCGTATCCGAGGATGTCAGTCTACAAAGGCGGCTGGCTAATCCCTTTTGCAGACGCCTGCTCAGGCACATTTGTGTTTGTTTAACATCCATAGAGCCCGTCTGTGGTTTATACTGCAACTATGCTGAGCTAATATTAGTTACAGTTTCTGGGAGAGAGCGCGTTATCTGTTGTGATCAACAGTCTGAACAAGGCCAATACGTCAGATTTTTTGCGTTTTGTCAGGGGTTAAAAATGTTAGAATGCTGGAAAAACTCAATAAACTAAACAAAATGGCTATTTTTGTAGTGATTTTATAACATATTTATGTTATAATTTTAAAATAAATAATTAGTGTAACCCGGATATAAGAGAGATTTTCTCTGGTCCCAAATTAGAGCCTGTGTTAATGTATATAAAATAGACCAAACTCGGATATAAGAGAAACCCGCATATAAGAGACTTCTTCTCCGGTCCTGACAACTCTCTTATATCCGGGTTACACTATATATATATATATATATTTTTAAAATAAAATAAAAATTTAGATTTAAAATTCTCTGTGTGTCTCTTTCGTGCGCATGAGCAGTCGTATCAACGTAAGACAAACTTAGTCCAATGAAGTCCTGAAGGACGAAACACGTCACACGAAAACATTTTCCACATATATATATATATATATATATATATATATATATAACAATGACCGACTACACATTTTCCGAGAACAAGCGTTACACTCAGTATCGAGCTGTTATATGTATAATATAAATATATTGCTAGTGATTTTACAACAGTGCATTTCAATTTCAAGGGAAAGGGATTATCAGTGATCAGAAATTGTTACAATTTTTAGATTATCTTCCGTTCTTGGCCTTTAACAGTTAAATATAACCCCTTACAGTGAAGCTGTAGTATGTACAGGAGACAGTTTTATGGATAGACGCCGTGAAGAGAAGATGCTACTATGACATGTGGGAAAAAAACACAACCTCCATGAACGCTTTTGTAATATTTGCTAGCTTTCCTTTTCAGGGTCAGGAAGAAGGCAATTAACACGTTTCTATACGTAATGTTCCTTTACTAGAAAATAAAAGAATCGTTTACGTTCTAACTTTATCCTAGTAGTTTTTATTCCTTCTTTTTTAATATTTAGGTAGATATCTGTACCCACGGTTAGTACTACTAAGGTCGGCTGCATATATTTGATAAACCCAACACAAGTGTTACTAACGAAGGCTACTCTATGTTTCCCGTGCTTTGAGCGCCTACTGGGACTGAACGTCGACATGATTACCTTAGCATTCTTCTAAGACAAGTTTAGAATTCTTGAATATTTTGAGATTTAATTCACTGGGTAGAGAGAAAAAAAAAAGGTATCGTGGACATGTCTTGCACATATTTAAACGAGATGGCTGAAATGATACCAGAAGGAAGCGGAGTATAGATAAGAAGATAAGATTTTCCAGAAGGAAAATTGCGTTTAAGGATCAATCAGTTATGTGCCATGCGTAATACATGACTGACAAGGCAGATTTTTTACCGCAGTAGGCTGCCGTTTCATTCTGCGGTAAACAAGTTGCCAAGGCTATAGAACCCGGTATGTCCTGCTATTTACCCATAGTTTGTGGGGGAAGGGAGAAGAAGAGGATTCACATCCTTAATTCACGTAAATTCGACTTCGGTTCTCTGATTCCTCAATCCGAGTCGCTATCCACTACTCCACCGTGCCTCCGCGTTTAAAGATAGTTTCTCAAATTAGCTGTTGTTGACAGGAAGCCGCCTCCTTTCTCGTCAGGTGTTTATCAAATTAGATTCTGCACGAAACAAAGGGAAACAATTGATTGACGATAGCAAAGGAGCTAAATTCGCGGGATTTGATGTCATCAGGTGAGCCCTCTTCAGACGCTTGTTGTATATGGAATATCAGAAGACTTGATGCCAATTGATAGTTTGAGCCTATCAATTGGCATCCTAGGTTTAGTTTTACCAGAGGCGCGTATTATGATTTATGCAATAAATCGATATTGGGAGAGATAGATAAATATGAATGGACCGAGACAGATAGGTAGATATGAAAATATATATATATATATATATATATATATGAATGGACCGAGATACATAGGTATGTATATATATATATGAATGGACCGAGATACATAGGTATATATATATATATATATATATATATATATATATATATATATGAATATATATATATATATATATATATATATATATAAATATATATATATATATGAATGGACCGAGATAGATAGGTAGATATGAAAAGATATATATATATATGAATATATAGATATATATATATATATATATATATATATATATATATATATATATGAATGGACCGAGATAGATAGGTAGATATGAAAAGATATATATATATATATATATATGAATGGACCGAGATAGATAGGTAGATATGAAAAATATATATATATATATATATATATATATATATATATATATATATGAATAGACCGAGATAGGTAGATATGAAAAGATCTATATATATATATATATATATATATATATATGAATAGACCGAGATAGGTAGATATGAAAAGATATATATATATATATATATATATATATATATATATATATGAATAGACCGAGATAGGTAGATATGAAAATATATATATATATATATATATATATATATATATATATATATATGAATGGACCGAGATAGGTAGATATGAAAAGATATATATATATATATATATATATATATACATGAATGGACCGAGATAGGTAGATATGAAAATATATATATATATATATATATATATATATATATATATATATATATAGATGAATGGACCGAGATAGGTAGATATGAAAAGATAGATATATATGAATGGACCGAGATAGGTAGATACGAAGATATAGATATGAATATTTAGATATATAGATATGGATGTGGAGCCCCGTTTCAGAATTGGAGAAAAATGCTAATAGATAATGTCACTCAAAACTGATTTTTTGTACATTGACAGGCTTCAGAGATTTGAATTTTTGTATTCATATATATTAACTAACCAATCAGTGACATCATACGAGACGCGCGGTATTCTTTGAATTGGCAGGCGATAAAATATCTCGTAAAAATGTAATTTTGGGCGCTCACTTCAGAATATGATCGACAATATTTTCCCTACTTAAAATGTATATTTAAAAATTAAGAAAATATATATTAACCAATACTCTCGAGATTAATAAATCTAAATTTTAGATTTATCCGGAGCCTGCTATTTTATTATAAATATGATCACTTGTTCGCTAACTAGTCTTTCAGTGAACCTTTGACCAGGGTGTTTATTCGATCGTTTGTTACACAAACAAAACTTAAATTCTCACACTTAATTAGGGACCTTCACTAAACTTTCCACACCTAATGTTTAAAATGAATTTTGGGAAAATGAAAAAGCATTCTTGAAATTTTCTTTTTAGCTTTAATTGAAAGCTAAATAATTAAATTTAGTATTCCTAATAAGTAAAATACTCTGGTGTATTTCAAATAGAAAACTTTAGTCGCTTTCAGAAAATCGATTACAATCGGCCATTTTGGCTGACTCAAAAAAAAAAAGGAAGATTTTTTTAACTAAAGTTTCGGACATGATAGGACGGATTAAAAAAATAATCAAAATATTTTGGTCTTTACTTTTAATAATAACAAATTTTTAGATGATAAATAATTGTTTTCATCCAGTTTGGGGCCATTTTTTGTTATGGTATGCTCTTTTTTTAGTGAATTAGTGGTGGTTACTACTATTACTCTACAACTACAATATTACTAAAATTATGTTTAGCAACCGTGATATTTAGCTACCCCCCACACACACCCACGAGGGTTACATGTGGCACAAGGCCAGGTTTAACGTGGGATTTCCGAGCCCGTAGGCTCGGCCAAAAATATTCCGTCTAAACGGGTTCAGGGGCAGTCAACCACCCCGAACGAGACTCTGCCCTTCAGCGGTGCCTCGTCCGGGTTCCTCTCCGCCCGAAGGCAGAGAGTTAGACTGTTGGCCAAGTTAGCCAAGTTGTTTAGCAATAGTGACAACATAACCTTGTTTACATGGGATGACAATAGTAATTAGCCTCGCTGCTTTTATTTCATGCGACTGACTGCTGGAATTTCATACATACAATGAAAACAATGTAAGCCTGTGTCTCATAGACCTGCAGACATATTTTCCGTTTATCCTATACTAACGCAATTCATTCGGTTGTACTGTAAAAAACAGATACACAAAATATTTTGTGTGCAGTTGTTCGCAAAGAATATTTGTAATTCATTTCTTTCAATTTGAAAGAAAAATAAAACACAAATAAATGAAAATTATTGAAATTTGTAGATCCGTGTTTGAAGATTCTTAATTTTTCGCTTATACACGCTGATTCCGCTACAGATAGGTGGATATGAATAGATAGATATATTGATATGGATGAATAGACATGGATAGATAGATGGATACCAGTCAATAGATGAAAACTGATTCGAATAAAAAGAGAGATAAACAACTTTAGATAAATAGAATATTGCCTGTTCTAATAAATCTAATTACATCTGTCGAAATTGATTGAGATAGATAGATAGATAGATATGAATAGACTGTGAAAGAGAGATAGCTATGAAAATATTGTGATAGATATGGACAAACTTTGGTAGACAGATATAAACAGGCTGAGATAGGTGGATAGATAGGAGCAGGCTGAGATAGATGGATAGATAGGAGCAGAAATAGATAGGAACAGACTGTGATAGATACTCATATCTATCTGAATAATTCCCTTTCATGTTTTTATTTTCAAAGTCAAGCCTTTAGCCAACTTCCTCTCGTTAACGAACAAAGCGCCAATCAGTGAACTGCATACGATCTCTGTCTGGCTTTTAGATCGTGCGATAAAGAATCCACTTGCCCCAATAACAAGTGCATCGCAAAGACCCACTCCCGTTCTCATCGGCTCAAATCCATATCTCTGCGAGCATGTGTGGTTTGGCTCGTGCACAAAGCAGCCGCTAAAAAATTTGTTAGAGCGGAAAATGTTCAAGACATGAAAATAAAGACATTATTGTACAACTGTATCTTACTTCCAGACCCCCCCCCCATGTGAGCATCTTGCAAGGGGGTATATGTGTGCTGGTGTTGATAGCTGTGCATAATAATACCGGGTGCGATGGATAAATTGTCGTCTAAATGAAGCGAAAGTGAAAATAACACTGGCATCTCATTTTAACAGATATACAGTGTGCGATGGATAAATTGTCGTCTAAATGAGGCAAAAGTGAAAATAACATTGAGATTTCGTTTTAACAGATATATTTACCAAAGTTACACAAACATATCTTGAAATACCAAACAGTAAATTTATTCAATAAAATCGCCATTTGTCTTCTACCAAGGCCTACAGACGACAGAGGAATCTCCTGCAACTCTTTTGGTAGGTCTCCTTGCTTAAGTTGGTGACTGCTGCCATAATCCTTGTCTTCAGTTCATCTTTAGTGTTACAAGGAGTTTTGTTAGTCTCTCGCTCAAAGGCGACCCTCACATAATAATCAAGGGGGCTGCGGTCTAGGGATTTAGGTAGACAGATGTAAAATATAAAACGGCGACAATTTACTCATCGCACCTTGTAGCCTCGGCATCCTCTTGGGAATCGGTTCCACAAAGCAGCAGTTCGTGAGAAGAAGCTGCTTAGATCTCGTTAATGGAAGTCGAAGGGAATGAAGGTGGTTCGCTGCAATGTTCGTGACGAGGTGTTTCCTAGCAGTTAAAACTAGTGGAACTAAGGAATGTAGTTCGTCTGAGTACTTTTCGTGGAGATAATAAGAGGCCTGCGACGTTTCGTAGATGGAAAAATGGCTGCAGGGTGGAAAATAATTCATCCCCCATAAGGACGCGGAGATGCTTTTGGACTCTATCGAGACTGGAAATTAAAGACTAGAAAGCGCCTGTCCATATATAGCAGCAGTATTCCATCTTCAGTCTGATCGGGTTCTTGTAAAAGTAGAGGATAGCAGCGACCATTTTTTTCCAGTATCTTTAGCGATGAATCGTATGGTATAAGCTCTACCTTATGGTTTGGGTAGATCTTCAGTCCCAGTAGGCGCTCAAAGCACGGGACCTCCGTGAGGGAACACCCGTTCATCGCGATAGGTGAAAATCAAGGGCTTCAGACACAGCTTCGAAAACCAGAAAACACCGACCGTATCGGTGTGATCAAATTGTTATATAGGAATAAAGTGTCGCTGCCGACACTTGAGTTTGAACATAGATCGCCAATGAGTAAACACAGGCGATCCCATTATTGAATTAAGTGGATCACGTGACTATAGAGGAAACGCATATATAGGAAGTCGCCTGACGTCTAAATGATCTGCATTTCTAGTCTATCCTCTATTACTATCCGGATCGCTATTTCTAGTCTATACGCTATTACTACACGGACCGCTATTCTCTACTCTAATCACTATATTATTTCTCTATTCAGATCACTATACGATTTCCATACGATTCAAGTGAGTATTATCGAGCAAGTACTATTAGTGTGAGTGATATTCGAAGGCACCTGACACCAGTATTGTTCAACGGCGTTACTATAGTTTGTATCTACGATTACAAAGTCTTTACTACAACAATCATTACGAAAGTGACAACGAATATTCGTTGACATCACAAAACAAATCAATAACGATAATATCAATTTGGATAACGAGTATTGATACTTCATTTTTTACACTATTGTTCACGGAATATAAGGCCCAAGTGCCACTCAAGGCAGAAGTTAATTGAATGAAGTTGTTTTACGGACATCAGAGGATGAGCTAAGAAGTACATCCTATGAGGGTATGTAGAAAATAAAACGGTTAGCGCTGGACGTTACAAAGTTAAAATTGTAGTGATCGTGCAAGCATCTTTTTGGGAGTCTGTTCCACAAAACAGCGGCTCTTGAGACGACGCTGCCTGAATAGGACTTTCTTTTTACTAAATCAATACGGAAAGATTAGAACGACTCAGACCTGTTTACATCGCACGACGGGTCATACTTTCGGCCTTGGGTCACATCTAAACTACGTTTAATAAATCCTTTGGGCACTTCGACGTGGGGTAATAGCAAGCTTTTCTCGCTAAATCAATCACGACTGAATAGTGAGTTCAATCCTCACTGGGTGCTCCATACTTTCGGCCTTGGGCCATATCTAAGTTACGCTTATTAAAGCACTTCATATATAATATTTTATAATAGGAGTGTCCACTTTGCGATATAAATTCTTTGTAAATCGATCTCCCTCTACGGAAGCCTAAACAAATATGTACATTTTTTTAAGACAATTCACCCCAAGCAAGGAGGGAGTGTCACTAGCATGCAAGGGGTTACAGAGGATTGAGAAGAAGAGTAAAGAGGCATGTTTAAGGAAAAGGATACAGAAAAGGACGGAGAACAAGCTCAGGGTTTCAGATGTCGATTGACATTACACTTGAATATTTGAAGATTATAGTCACCGGGGAAGCAAGTAAGAGGAGGGGAGTTCCACAGACGGGAACATACGACATGATTTCTTTATATGTTAAATTAATAATATGGGCTACTTAATTGATAATAATATATGAAAAAAAAAAAGTCCAAATTTCAAAATATTTATTCAATGTACATTTTAAGAAATCGCGTGGAATATTTTGTTTTGGCTTCCACGGCGTGGTGAATAAATTTATATAGCAAACTCCCCCTACCCTACTGGTATTAACTTGTAAAATCTAACTCAGACCTGTTTACGTAGCACGACGGGTCATATTTTCGGCCTTGGACCACACCTAAGCTACGTTTAATAAATCATTTGAGGCACTTCGACGTGGTGTAATAGCAAGCTTGTATTGCTAAATCACTTACAACTGAATAATGAGTTCAATCCTCACTGGGTGCTCCATACTTTCGGCCTTGAGCCACACCTTAGCAACACTTAGTAAATCATCACATATATATTTTATAACAGGAGTGTCCTGTTTGCAATATAAATTCTTTGTAAATCGAGTTCCCGCTACGGAAGCCTAAACAAATATGTATACAAGTTTATATATATATATATATATTTTAAATTCATAATATGGGGTACTTAACTGTTACTAATATATGAAAAAAATTTTCTAAATTTCAAAATATTTCTTCATTTAATTTACATTTTAAGAAATCACGTTGCTTTCACGGTGTGTGGAATAAATTTGCATAGCAAATTGCCCCTACTCCGCTATTAACTTAAAATCTAATAATTTATTTGGGATTTCGAGTGTTTAAGAAACTTAAAAAAAAAATATTTCTGATGGCAGTTACTATTTTTACAACACATATCCACACTATATTTTCTGTAACGTATTAAAAATTTAAGATATTAAAAAAAGAATTTGTTTGAATTCTCTTGAAAAGAAAGAAAAAAAATGTAATTTCTAGACAACTTTAAAATTTGTTTACCGCCAGGCAGTCAAAGAAAGAAAAGAAATTTATTCCAACGTAAGAAAAACACAACAAAGCTTATTGTAAATAGAATTCTACTCTTTATTTGCTCACATACTTAAACCGTTGGCGCTCGCAGTAAGGGAAAGCGATAGAAAATAACCGAAGAATGGTTTGAATTAAGTAATAAAAAAACAATAAAATATTAAAAAATAATAATCCTATTTAATAGCTTTGTAAGTACAGAGTAAATTGGTACGCTTATTTGAACACAAACGTTTTAAATTAATCGACATCGTTCAAAGTAGACGCATCGTATCGTAGAGAAAAAATAAAACGGTTAACGCTGAACTTTACAAAATTAAAATTGTAGTGATCGAGCAAGCATCCATTTGGGAGCCTATTCCACAAAACAGCGGCTCTTGAGAAGAACCTACCTGAATAGGACTTCCGTCTTACTAATTAAATGCGGACAGATTAGAACAACTCAGTCCTGTTTATAGAGCACGGCGCGCCATAGGTGTAAATGTTTGAATTGGTGGAACTAAGGATTGCAGCAGGAGTAATGGCTAGCGTCTCAGATTGAGGAATCGGAGAGCCGAGTTCGAATCCCAGTCGAATCCATTACATTCACTTACGTGCTAATACCTCTTTTTCTCCCCCACCTCCAGCTAGGGGTAAATAGCAGGACAGACCGGGTTCTATAGCTTTGGATGGCAACTATCGCTGAAAGAAATGGCAACCTACTGCGGGGGAAAAATCAGCCTCGTTAGTCATGTATCGAAAGATACATGATCGCCTATGCGTGTATCCCGCATGGTACATAACTGACTGAAAGATTGTCGCGCATCGGAACATTTGCTATGAAAATAGCGATAGATTAGCAAAAGACTTGTGACTTTTCGTCTGGAAGAAAGGAGTTTTAAGTTGGAAAATAATTCATCGCCCACAAGGGGATCTAGACGCCTTTGTGAAGGTTTTGAAACAGAGGATTGGGTATCTCTAGCCTAGATATGCCAGCAGTATTCCATTCTGTGTCAGGACGGACTTTGGTAAAAAGCAGAGCATGGCAGAAGGTGTCTGGTACTTTCTGGAATGGTATAAGAAACTGATCATTTTTTCCCACAATCTTTAGCGATAGATTGTATATAAGAGGTCCACTTACGGTCTGGGGTAAATTTGAATCCCAATACACGCTCGAACAAGGAACCTCTTTTGTGAAGGCAAGTGAAATAATGGTGTTTCTTTTTTATTTGCGGAAAAATAAATATTCTTTTCTTTTCAGGGATCTTGTCGACTGCTTTCTGTACCAGTCGTCAACGTCC